ATAAAATCTTTTTTGTGTTGAAAAGGGACTAGACGTACCTTCAGATTATGAAGGGAATTAAGATACATCTTTTTGTTCTTTATTTTTTCTGCACTTTATTACTTTCCAACTCTTGCATCAAACCAGAAAAATAAGAACAACTTGTGTCTAAAAACCATAATTTGAAAGTACCTAATTCACCCGCCTCTTAGGCACACTCCAAACTTATAGAATATATGTCATATTAATTTTTTTTATCTTTGTGTGATGACATTAACATTATGGGGGTTGTTAGACAATATTGATATGTCGATGTTGGGGTGAAATTGCTTTAATAAACAATTAGTTGTTATAGAGGTTTATTAAAGGTTGTCCATGAAGAGATATAATAGGATTTGATTTAATGCACCTTCTTCTATCGTTAAAAGATCCACATAATGAGCATCTTCTACTTTGATCATGCACGAGTATCACCATTTTTTAAATCTGAGAACGTATCAATTGATTCATAGAAAGTAGACAACTACTTGGTTTGAAATATAGTTGTGAGGCACAGTTGAAAACATTTTGGTTGGTAGAAGTATTTCCTTTGGGGTCTTTTAATGAAAGACGACTTCTTTACCTATTAGGATTGGAGGGTTGGATATGTGATTGACATTAGAGGTTGTTTTATATGCTTTTGTGGTTTATAGAACCTAATTCTAGGTATTATTAGATCATATATTGAGAAACATTGAGATACGTGACATATAATATGACTTATATAGGGCTTTGGATAATCTTAGTGGCACGACTCTGACTTTTAACCTTACTAGTTTTACTAACAATGACATTGTCCTTCCTAAAACTCAACATATTTTGTCAAGTGCCTTTTTTTACTAAAATTGTTCACGATATAGAAGTTAAAACAATTTTTAGGTTTTTGCAAGGAGTGCATGCTCAATATTTTCTTTTAACTATTCCTTTATTCCCTTTGATGGGATAGTCCATCATATGTCAGAAGTATAATACTTCACCATATATCACCAGATGAAGTTTCTTTCATCTTCTTTATACTCTTCATCATATTTCACTTTTCTTCATGTTACTCCCTCCGTCTTACAATAGGTGTTCTCTTTCTTATTTTTATTTATCTCAAATTATTTATCCCTTTAGAATATCAATGTTATATTCATTATTTCTTTCCGCTAACTTACCCTTATTTATTGTGTTTTAATTCATGTGACTACTCCATTACCTATTATTAATAAGGTTATTTTAGTAAATGACACTCATTTTATCATTGAAATAAGGGTTTATACCATTTTACCCCCTTTCATATAGGCGACTTTTGGTTTACCTCCTGTAAATTTTTTTTGTAAAAACAACATTGCCATTTAAGATTCTGTCATTTTAAACTCTGTAATTTTTTTTTTGTAAAATCAACCTTGTCAGATGAAAATTCTTTCATTTTAAACCCTGTAAACTTGAAAATTTTGTCGTTTTAAACTCTCTGAAACCTGACTAGGTAAGGTTAGTTTTATATAAAAACATATTTACAGGGTTTAAAATGACAGAATCTTCAAGTGGCAAGGTTGATTTTAAAAATAAAATTTTATAATGTTTAAAACGGTAGAATCTTAAGTGATAAGGTTGGTTTTACAAAAAAAAAATTACAGGGGATAAACCAAAAATCACCTACATAACAGGGGTAAAATGATATTAACCCTTGAAATAAACACAATTAATCATTATCTTAAAAAGTACAAAAATCTCAACAAAAAAAAAACATCTATTATGAAACAGAGGGAGTAAAATTCATCTATCTAAAATAAAAAAGCTTCATTTTAATTGAAGTGTAAACAAATAAACCAATATACTCAAACATCACATAGTGAAAATCATATAAAAACTAATAATTCGTTCATCCATTTGTTTCATCATTCACTTTCTAAATCTATAATTTATTCCCTCCATTTTTTATTATAAGTCGTTTTGGAAAAAAAATTGGACCACAATATAAGTCATTTTAAATTACCAATGAATAATTAATGCCATTTTTTCAATTATACCCTTAAAATTTTATTATTATCTCTTCTTTTAATCATGTAAATTTATTTTTCCCATATTAATAATGAAAGACAATTTTGTAAAAATATTCATAATTTCTCATTTTCATACAACAATTAATTTTCTTAATAGATGTGAAAAATTCAAAACAACTTATAATAAAAAATGGAGATAATAGTTATTTGATGTTTTCTTTTCATTTTCAGAAACAATCAACAATTTTAGTCCTACAATTTATTTGTAGATTTGTTTCTTCAATCAATATTAATTGAGATCCTAATCCAAAGTCACCATCAAAAATAACATCTTCTCCATCTTTATTAATTCAGATTCACTCATTATCTTCATATTTCATTACCATTTTTATCTGAAAAGTCTACCAAATAAATATTTAAAGATTTAGATTTAAAATAAAAATTATTTTCATATTGAACTCTATTGTTTTTCCTGAAAAAATTATATAAGAGTTCTTTTTTGCCATCCTTATGAATTAAATTTTATTTTGTTGTTGTTGTAATCTAAATGAGAATTTATTTATAACTTTACATAGTAAAATTGTTCTTTGTAGCTTTGTGAAAACAAAAATCGAAACTCACACATTATTTTCTTAAATATTGATGAAGGCATGAAATCTAATGATTCTGTTAAGTAGAAGTGGTAAAACGGGTTGGATCCGTCAGGTCAATCTATTTGATCTATCATTTTTGGGGGTTGGATTGAGATTTTCGACTTGATACCTTAAGTTGGCCCATCCCGCCTAATCCGCTTTTAAAAGTGGACTTAGGTGGGGCGAGACGGATTTTGCCCGCGGACTTTTTGTTACAACTTTTTACTTTTTACTTAGAATTAAGATAATTTTAACTATAAAAACAATAATATTCTCGTTGGGTTATGGTGATTGAATTACATTCTAAATTATTATACAGACAAATTGAATTATAATTGTAAGGTTTTTTATATAACTTTCTAATAGATTTATTGGTTGGAAAAACTTGAAATACAAGAACAATTGTATGGCATGAAGAATTATTAAGTTGCCAATACATTAATTCACATGTTTTCTTTAGAAATAAATGTTAATTTTAAGAAAATGAAGAATTCGATTAGAGTATACGTGTGACAAATTTAAGAAATAACTATTAAAGAATCAGTCAATATAATAGTCCATTATATGACGTAAACAATGAGAAAATCAATTGTTAATATTTTATACACTACTATTTTATGAACTGTGATGTTTTATGTACTGTAATGTTATCATTGTTTGTCTTCTGTAAATTATTAATTGGGTTCTTTTAGTAATTAGTTTTTAAATAGGATTAGGATGATATATGTTGTTTATTTATTTATTTTGATACATTTTTTTATCGTGCTAGAGTCTATTTCAGTATGTTTTACTTGAAATTGGTCATTATCTATTTTATTTTTTAAGTGTTTGGACTTAAGACATGTTGAAGTTATATTATGCATTGTTAAAAAAATATCTTTTGTCGACTTCTTTAGTAATGATTAAAATTTTGTAAATTACGTAATAAATTAAATTGTAAAATAAAAAAATAGTGGGCCGGCCCGCTAACCCGCCAACTCGTTAGTAAACGAGGCAGACTTGATTTTTGAGCTCGGATGTTTAAGTTTGCCCGCTCCGTCACACCCTGCTTTTGTACGAGCTTAAATGGGGTGGGTCTAAACGGGACGGACCGTCCACTTTGCCACCCCTAATGTTAAGGGAGCAAATAGTCAAAAATCTTTTGAAAGATATCCTTCTAATGTCCGGCCAGATATTTGATTGGTTTTTGAAAATACTTTTTGTTGAAAAATGTGATGAAGAAATGGAGAAGAAACTTGCTTGTAGAAAGGGTGGAGTGATAAAAAGAGAAACTATAGATTCTTGTTTGGAATTTTATTAGGATTGCTAACTTGATAGTAAAGTGCTCGACTTTTAAGTGCGGCTCCATTTTTTACACATTTATATGAACTAATTGGTTCATCCATATTATTGGTAGGGTTTGTAAGACCACGACTGGTCCAGAAAGGAATGAATGGAACAACATGTCGTATCAATAGTGAATTCAATTTTTTTTCATTTATATTGGATACGACCAATATTTTTCTTTGAATTGTTGACTGAGAACAAATCAATTCTGTTGGGTTGAATTAATAAAAGGGATAGAGTTTAGTTGCTCTAATTATAGGGAAACAAAAAGCAACGGACTTTCATTTATTAATTATTAAACCAAGTAGTGGCTCTTTCCTGACCGAATGTTATCTAAATCCTGGGGTATTCGACACGATTAGTCAGCCTTACAACTACAAAAAGATTAGACATCCTCCCATGATACGGTTTTCTGCGGTCCGAACTCAGTACCGTATTAGGTTAGGGAGTTGGGTCTTTTTTACTCCTCTCACATTCCTTCCATCGAGCTGCTTCGCTCCTCCACTTTCTAAAACAGAGAGAGAGAGAGAAAGACAGAAACAACTCATTAATGATGGAGAGAAAAAAAAGTTCATAAACAAATTTTTAAGTTAAATATAATAAATATGTTGAAGAAAAGTTTAAAACAAGTGATAGAAAATAAAATACAAGCAATTGACCGAGTCATGTAATAATAATCCATGAGCAATAATTAAGCAATTTCCATGAATTTTCCATCCACAAGCCCTATGCTGTCAAGAATCAAGACTAAAAATGGTGGCCCTCCTTCCAGTAACCCCTGACTAGTATTAGTAAGTTGCAACAAACAACTCCCGCGTCTCTCTCTCTCTCTCTCCTTATAGACTACTTTTCAGAGTCAAGTCAATGTTAACATTACAAACCCCTTCTACACAGAGCACTGTAGTGCTTTGTAACCAAACCAAATAACCTCTAATGTGAATTGAATGAACCCAACGCCCCCACTTAGTTACACCCTCCCCTATAAAAAACAAACATCAACAACATAACACAAGACAAGATAAGAAAAACCAAAAACAAGATGGTTCCTGTATGGCTACTCACCGTCACAGTAGCAGCCACTTTACTGTTAACAACACCAACAGAATCCCAACCAGAAGCAAATTTCAAATGCGCCACCGAAAGCGCCACGTGTCGGAGCCTAACCGACTACACTTCCACCAACACAACAACCTTGAACGAAATCGCAACCCTGTTCGGCGTCAAACACTTCCTCGACCTCCTCGGAGCCAACAACCTCCCAACCAACACCACAAACACTTACAAAGTAATCCCCAACCAAGTCATCAAGGTTCCGTTTCCGTGCAAATGCTTTAACGGAACCGGTAAATCCAACAATTTACCGCGGTACAAAATACAACCAGGTGACACGTTAAGCCATATAGCGGCGATTCGTTTTGCCGGTTTGATGAAGTATCAACAGATCCAAACCGCTAATATTAAAAAGATACCGGATGCTAACAATATAACCGCTGGTGATACGATTTTGATTCCTTTGCCTTGTAGCTGTGATAAGGTGGGTGGGAGCAGTGTGATGCACTATGCACATCTTACGGAAAATGGTACTAACATTGATATCATTGCTCAAAAATATGGTACAACATCACAAACTCTACTCTCAATCAACGGTATTGAGGATCCTAACAAACTTGAAGCCGGTCAAGTTCTAGATGTTCCTCTTCCAGGTAAAAACTGTCTTTGAGGGCGGGCCCAACATTTGTCAGTCTTATAAATTGTTTGTCATAGTTAAACTGTGCATCTATTTGTCGTGTCATGTTTAAACTACGAGACTATTCTATATGTAGTCTTTATTTGAACCAATGAATGAATGAAGTTATGTGTTTGTTTGATTTGTGCAGTTTGTAACTCTAATGTGAGGAATACTTCGGTGGACTTTCCGTTGCTTGTACCAAATGGGACTTATTTCTATACTGCCAATGATTGTCTTAAATGTAAATGTGACTCTGCTGGTAGTAGTAACAACAGCAATTCTATGTTACAATGTGAGGAGTCCGGACTAAAACCGATAAATCATTGGTCGGTTTGTCCGTCTGCAAAATGCTCCGCCAGTGTGTTGATTGGGAACACTACATCTACTGATTCGTGTAGTCGGACGTTTTGTGATTATGTTGGTTATACTTCTCGCAATATCTCTGTAGTTCTTGTAACTCAAAACACTTGTGCAGGTTAGTTTGTTAGTTGGTTATAAATTGTGTTTTTGGTTTGTGAAATTGTTTTCTGGTTGCTAATTATGTTTTTGTTTGTTTCTCATTTGTTTGCAGTGGCACCAAGTGGTTCAGGTGGTTCGGATTCAGGGGCATCTAGGAGCATCTTGAATGGCTCGGTTTGGATCAAGCTTCTCATTCTCATTCACTTCCTTCTGTTTTTTGTTTATCATTTGTAGTACAAACCCTGCATCTTTGTTCTTTTTCTTTCCATGAGTTCATTGTTTAGTGTGTGTCTTGTGAGTATTGTCACTTAATGGAACATTTTTATGTTTCTTTTCCTTCTATTTAGTGCATGTTTGGATTGATTGTGAGTTAGGCTTAATCAGAGTGCTACCATGACTTTGTCACACTCACATTGATTTCAAAGGCACATTTACACTATTTGTAATATAGCATATTTGGAAGAATAAGAATGTTGTCTGAACTACAATAATCTGTATCTTTTTTAATGTATGCCCCTTATTGACATAGCCCTCTCAAACTTTTGAGAGGTCCGGTGTAAGAAGATAAAGTTAGCTCTGTTGAGTCATCAAATTTTTTTAAGAGACTCTATTTATCCGTAAATTATCTGTGAAATTTGTCTAATCATGAAAAAAATGTGAGGCCCTGTGTTTTGTAGGAGGCTGTCTTGCACGCCTCAAAGACGACCCTACTTATTCATGACTCTGATAAAGCCTTCCACTCTTTGGACTTCAAAGGCTTTTGATGGAAGACACCAATTGTTGACTTACCTAATATTAAATTATTCTTATTGTTTATAGTCAATTTTCCCATTATCATACCATTTAGCCACTAGTTTTGAAGACAAATATGTCTAGTTTTAGATGATGTGCAAGTTTCTTATGCACAATGCCTAGTGGGATGACTATGATTTTGCCACCTTCTTTCATTCATTATCTTTTCATTTTCTACGTTTCCAACCATAAAGAATAGACTAGATATAAGATAGTAGTTCATTAATCATCATAAAAATAGTAAATCTAGCCATTAAGTAAGAATTTAATTTATATATAAATATATCATTCGCTGTTATGTTTGTATGAATACTTGCAACTTATCAGACATTCAAATTCTGCAGCAATAAGCTATTCTAGTGAAGCAAAATATTATTTTAGAAGAACTCTTTAATACATTAATGAACACAATTAGCTTTTTTCTTATTGTTCAACTCTGAAGAAGACCGATCCTTTGGCTTCTTTCTCACTCTCCACAACTACAACATTATCTGACACATTGGTAACAGAATGTGCTACAAATTTTGGCTCCCCTTGAGCATAAAATGAATATTGAACATGACTAATCCGATTAGGAAATACCAAAACTGATGAAAAATCAGCCTCCCATTTCGTGCTGTTACCGCTCACAGTTAACTTCCCAACCGTTGATCTCAACCCCATGCCGTTTACATTGTTTCGATCAATCACTACTTGTTCAACATTACTAAATTGCCCATCTAGATTCACAATCGGAACCTTCTTATTAGGATCGCCATTGAACATATTATCAACTATATTCAACCCCAAAATCTGACCTTTAACCGACTTCAGTAAAATATTAGCATCCCCAAGAAATAGGCCATTAGTGACATGAACTTGAACAGGATCTTCCATTACTATACCAGTATAATCCATATAACAGTTGTCAATTCTAGTTAGAGAATTTCCTGCTAATTTCACTAATATACCTATACCGCCAAATCCTGTAGCTTTGTTATAACAATGCACCCCTGATAGAATGTTAGCTTGGCCCCTAAGCACAATACCGATGGCTGCCGAGAAAATCGCAACATCTGTTACTGCGTTATCGTTACTAGCAAGATCAATAGCGACCCCCGAAAAGCCCTTCTCGCCGTGGTCACCACCAACTGTTGAGTGTTGTCCAAGAAAACAACTTGATATGAATGTCTCATGTCCTCTCTGTACTAGAATCCCTTCTGTGGTGAAATGTAAGAAGAAACAGTTGTTGATTCGGATTCTAGCGGAATCAGCAATGAATATTCCTCCTCCCCGGTAACTCGAATCAAAGAGGATGTCTCTGAAAGTTATGTCCTCATAGTAAATGCCATTGTTTTGTGTCTTTATGTCACTGAGGTTACCACTTTGCATAGATTCTGCTGTGTCGAGTTTGTTGGAATTTGATGAGCACAGCTCAACTAGATGTCGGTCACCAGGAAAAGTATCAGATGCTCTCAAAGTTCCTCCTTTAACCTGTTCACGATTATACTTTTGATAAAGTTTTTGTTCTTGTTGAGGCAATTCATAAAGTTAAGATGCAAAGAATATACATGTGGAGATGTACCTTCTAAATTATCATGTAATTAATTATACTAGATTTAGAACAAGATATTTTGCCCCTAAAAACCTCGAACCTAAACTTTTTGTAAAGAGAAAAGTGATATACAGGTAAACACGCGGCATCCACTCAAAGCTACAAATTAATTATTAAATATGTTTTTCTCCTCTATAAATAAATAAAAATGATTTCATATTTATCAAAAAAATTAATTAAATACAATTAATTGTTTAAATATTATATAAAATACAAGTTAAATTTATCAAAATATCTCTAAACATTTAATACATCAAAATATCTAGATAAAATATTTTAAATTTTGAAAGTATAAAAAAATTTAAAAGTTGATCAAAATTTTGTTTATAATACTCATCATCGAAGGAATTACATTGAATTTATCATGTTATGTTAAAACAAAATTTCAAATTTTCTTTCCACATGCAACAAAAACATTAAATTTACATAAAAAATGAAAATGTATGGTAGAGAGAGATGATGAAAGAGATATACTAACCACAACATTGCCACCACCAGGTGCAAAAGTAATTGGTTTGCTGATTTTGTAATCTCCACCTCCCAAATCAATAACAACACCTCCCAAATCGTTCACCCCTGCTACCAATTCAAGACCCTTTTGCAACTTAAATGCATCCTCCACAGCTTTCAAAATTGCATCACTACTCTCTTCTGATCCTGTTGGGTCTGCACCATATTCACTCAGGTACAACACCCTATTACTCTAGTAATGCACACAAAAAAATAATTTACAAATTGGTAGAAAACACTAGTAATAGTTCAATGCAGGTAGCTAAATTGCTTACCGTGTTTGTTTGTGAAGATGATGCCAAAGGTGGTGAAGGATTAGCTAATGTTTGATCAAGTTTGTGCTTGAACTCTGATAGTTTTTCCTCTCTTGTGAAAAAATTGGAACATGTTGATGCCTCTATTACCAACACCAATGATAAGACAAAACACACAGCTAAGAACCTCATACTTTGTTCAAACAGATTTATGATTCTAAAAAAATTGTGTTTTTTTTTCTTTTTGATGTGGGTTGAAGTGAAAGTAAAGGTAAGGACATTTTTGTTGGGCTTTTAAGATCATTGAGTATTCAACTGTTGGCATTGGTCATCTTACTAAGGTAAGGACACCAAATGCACTTGTGGACATTTATTAAGGCGTATGCTACGGTGCGCAACCACTATAAGTCTCCTACCGTGCGTGACCTTTTTATTTTTTATCCTCAAATGAATATCAGCCATTAGATTTCTATGAATTACTCTATGCCTTCACTGTACTGTCGCACACCGAATTAAAAAATTATTTATATAAAGTAAAAGAAAATATTAAAAGAAAATGAAAATTTTAAAAGTTGGTCATAAAGTATTAGATTAAATCATATTGATAAAATATTATTTTAAATATTGGTCAACTATATGTGAAGTATGTGAGAGATCCATAGGATGATGGTCAACTATGTGGAAATTATTTTTAGAGATCCGTGATGATGGTCAACTATGTTGGAACTATGTAAGAGATCCATAGGAATATAGTCAACTATGTGTGAAACATGTGACAGATCCATAGGATGATGGTGAATGATGTATGAACCATGTGTCTGACATTTGTACAGAAGATGGTTAATTTGTCATACCCTAAATTTGCCCTACCCTTATATTATATTTAGATTTCTAGTCAAATAAATCATATTATATAGTTTTTATTTCTATGGGGGAGTAAAACATGGAAGTGGGGTGTATTAATCCAAAATGGACCATCAACATCTGATGGCCCATTAAGTTTTAAAAAAATGTCAATTTCAAGTAAAAAGGGAGGTGCATTGTTTTATAGGGGGTTGAGTTTTAAAGTCAGTGAGCCTTCTAAAAATCAGAAAGACCCGTTTGAATCTTTTAGCCCATCAAATTATTTTCGTATGACCCATTAAAGTATTTTCAAGAAGTACATTAAAAAGAATATGGGGTTGGTTTTTGTTTGAATTCATCAATAGCTCATATCATTTTAGAAGGCCCATTTAGAAAGAGAGTTGTGCTGGGTTTTTTGGTCAAACGGTTTGACCCATTAGAATGATTGGGGGCTTATTTTAATTAAGGGTGAAAGACATTTATTTTTAATCAAAGGGTTGTATTGTTCGAGGCTCAATAGTAGTCAAACAATAAGGCCCGTTTCAGTTTTGCTGTTTTGAAAATAATTGTTTTATTTTTAATTGTTATATTATATCAGTATTAAAATTAAAACATTATTGTTTTGTTTTATCAATCAGAAAGTTTTTTTCGCACGGTCCAAAGCCCAAATAAAAAAAATATTTGCAAGTCCAAAATTCAGGTAGGCTCGTTCCAAAGCAAAAAACGCGCAATGTACGAATCATTAAGAAAATAACGCATATGTTGTTAGAACATAGTTTGGTTCTACATCCCTGTAAGAGTTTTGATGATAACAAACACATGATATATATATATATATATATATATATATATATATATATATATATATATATATATATATATATATATATATATATATATATATATATATATATATATATATATATATATATATATATATATATATATATATATATATATATATATATATATATATATATATATATATATATATATATATATATATATATATATATATATATATATATATATATATATATATATATATATATATATATATATATATATATATATATATATATATATATATATATATATATATATATATATATATAAAGAACATATATGCTCTCTAATAAAGTATTTTAATATGCAGAGAAGTTCTGATGTAAGAAGCATAGAAGATGAGAAAAGATCTGCTAGAACATAGTTTCGTTTTGAAGATATGTTCAGACACAACA